TAGTGCCCCACAAATGGGGGTCTTTGCCCCCAGAATGGGGCTGGTGCCCCACGCATGTGGGCAAGTTGTACAGGGAGTGCTTTCTGGAGATGATCTGTCCTTTCTCCAAATCTGCAGCAACTTCAGCAATCCCGTGTCGAGCCGCAGCAGCAATGGGGCACTGCAGCACGTCAGCGATCTCTGACTCGAGGAGCGCAGGGGCTTTATGAAGGACGCACTGCAGCCTCCCTGTTTCTTTGGTGTTTGGATTGCTGTTGGAGCCAAAAGGCCACACGCTGCCATACGGGCAGGTGCCAGGTTCACCCACTGATGACACCAAACCCTCAATTTCACAGTGGTCTTTAATTGTTGTGCGAGGAGATGACATGCATTTCTCCCTGGGGAGCCATAAGCTGAGCCCGGCAGGTGGGCAGGCAGCACTCGCTCCATTTATACCAGTAATCTCAGCCCTCTTGCTGCATGTGCAGCTTCTCAGCATCTTGCTGTACAAGTACTGAAATCTGTGCTCCCCTATCTATTACAAATGTCACCAATTGCCATTGAGGACAGACTGGAAGCAAAATATGTGGGCCATCATAGCTCATCTGTTTTTTTACTTTGTTTTTTCTTTCATGCTTTTAGGGGAACTTTGAGATCACAGCCTGAAGCAGTGATGGAGCACCTGGTGAGGGGTGCAGCCCTGCCTGCACAGGTGGAAGCAATGCAGCCGTGGGGCAGATGGGGCTGAGCCTGGCTCCACCCCTCCCTCGCCTCATTTTAAGGGCTGGCAGCCCCACAGGCAGGGTTTCTTCCTGGAGATGCCTCCTGTGGATTGCTGGGTGAGCTCTGGTTCGTGGGAAGAGGTCAGCGATTCTTTCTTGATGGCTGTTGGGGTTTTGGTCTCTGCCTTTCTGTGGGGATTGTCAGCTGGTTTACAGTAGCTCTGTCAGCTCTGCCTCTGCTTCTGATGCCTTCCAGCAGTTCTCTGAGGGCAGTCAGGGGTTTCTCTGCCTTTCTCTGAGCTGGTAATGGAGGAACTGATGTACATTCCCTTCTTTTGCTCTCATCTTCATCTGACTGAATGCTTCAGTCAGCCCCAAGGTGACGCTGGTTGGGTGACTGAGCGTTGCGACTCCAGAAATGCCTGGAGCTGATGCACTGTTCTGTAAAGGGATTCTGTGTTCTGCAGAGTTCCTCTGCAACTCTTTCTAAGCTCAACACCTTCTTGTGACGTCTCTGTGCCCTCTTTCATGATTCCCATTGCGGGATCTGCAACCTGGGCCTCCAAACTCACTCCGTCTGCTCCCATGTTGTCCCAACCCATCTTATGACACATTCCCTCTGTGTCCTTGTGTCTTTGTGTCTTTCCTATGTCCTCTGCCCGTGTCCCCTCTGCATCTCTTGTGCCATGTAATAATTCCACCCGTGCTGAGTATTGTTTAAGGGCACATATTTAAATTATGTTGTGCATCTCTTTGGATCTCGTTCTGCTTTGCTGCACGCGTCTGTCAGATTGACTCTGGGTTTTTCATCACCTCGGACACTGACTGAAAAAAAGTAGAGTAAAAAGCACGACAACATCAATTTTCTAGTTATTATTTATTATTATTTATTGACAGATATTCATAAGTACTGAGCGCAGGTTTGGTGGCTTTGTCGACGTTTTCCTCGTTTTCTTCCTCGCCTCCCTTCCCCCCAATTTCTTTTCTGTGTTTCCACACATTCGAATTTCACTTCGCGGTCTCTGCTGCCGTCGTGTGGCCAATAGGCGGAAATGCAACGAAGTTTTTTCCGCGGTCTCTGCTGCCCCCGCGTAACCAATCGGTGCCCAATAATGAGCATGCAAAAACAGATTTGGATTTTGCACCAAAAAGAGTCCATTATGAACTTGGCGCATGCGCAGTGCACTGGCGAAAAAAATCGCATGTGCACTTTGTGCCAAGAGTTGCGCATGCGCAGTGGAAAGCGAACCGCTGGTGCATGCGTAGAGATGATTTGAGGTGAAAGCATGCGCAGCGCTTCTGCGAGAGCGGCACATGCTCATAACGATGAAGAAAGAGACGCATGCGCACTGTGTTGGCCAGACAGGCGCATGCGTACTGCAATGGTGAAAAAGGCGCATGCAGACTGCGGAAGCGCAGCACGCCCATGCGCAGTGCCGTGATGAACACTGCGCATGCTCATAATGGCAGTGAGGCTGGTGCATGTGCGGTACCCTATGAAGCAGAGCGCACACGCAGTGCAGTGATGAAATGTCACATGTGCACCGCGAAATCGAAAGCTAATGCATGCGCATTGCTGTATTGGCATTGCTGCATTGGGAGTGGTGGAGCATGCACAGTGGGCTGTTAAAAAGAGCGCATGCGTCTTGCCATGCGCAGTGCGATGTCTAGAAGGCGCATGCGGACTGGTGGCATGGAATCGGCGCATGTGAGTTGCACGCAGTGAGCGACGCATGCGCAGTGCTGTGCCAAGAAGCCGCATGCGCAGCTTTGTGCTGAGCTGGCGCATGCGCAGTACTATGCAGTGACTGGTGCATGCGCCGTGTGGGGCAGAAACCGGCGCCTCTTTGTATCGTGTTACAGTGCCTGGTTTTACTGATATGTATTGCTTTCCCGAGACATGCTCGTGTCAGTGCTGCTGCACATCGGTAGCGCAATCGAGAAGCTCCGAGCCGCTGCGAGTTGCTCCGAGCCGCTCTGTGCGGTGTTGCATTGCCACTGCGAGGGCTTTTAAACGGCCAGGGGACGGTGCAGGGCTGGGGTGGAAGGGGACGTTTTCCAGTTCACCGGGGAGGCGAGCGAGTTTGGTGCCACGAGGCGCTGAGGGGCAGCTGTGAGCCGAAGCGGTCCGTTTCCATTCCCGGGTGGGCTCGGGCATCAAACGGCGGAAATAGACGAGGGGCATCCTGGATTAGCGGGGGAGAATCTATCGCTGAGCCGGCGGTCCGAGAATCGGCTGCTTGCCCGTACCCGCAGTGGTTTTTCGAGACAGCTGCTGTTTTGAAGGTGACGGGCGTATATTCGCTGTTAGCCGGAGGACTAATCACCATAGAGAGCGGCGGATGAGCTGCGCAGAGTGGTTAGATCGGTACTTCCGCATTTCTGGGCGCATGCATCACGCCGCTGGCGGGACTCGGCGGCAGACAGCTGCAGTTCCGCGCGTTGGCCACGCGGTGGCAGCAGAGACCGCGGCAAGAACTTTCCTGCCGGATCGATGCCGGGACTCGGTGGTAGGCGGCGGCAGTTCCGCGCATTGGGGGCTGCCCGTGGGGCGCGTGGAGTGCTGGAGGAGTTGATGGCCGTGCGCGGTGGGGTGATGGTGCCCCTGGAGCCCCCAGAATGGGGCTGGTGCCCCAGGCCCGTTGGCAAGTTGTTCAGGGAGTGCTTTCTGGAGATGATCTGTCTTTTCTCTCCATCTGCAGCGACTTCAGCAATCCCGCGTCGTGCCACAGCAGAAATGGGGGACTGCAGTACGTCAGCGATCTCTGACTCGAGGAGGGCAGTGGCTGCAGGAAGGACGCTCGCTGCAGCCTCCCTGTTTCTGTGGGGTTTGGGATTCGGTGCCAAAAGCAAATGCTTGGCTCTGCTGCACGCATCTCTCAGATTGACACCGGGTTTTTCATCACCTCCGATGATGCTGGATGAAAAAAAAAAAGAGAATAAAAAGCATGACAACATCAATTTTCCAGTGATTATTTATTATTTATTATTATTTACAGACAGATATTCATAAGCACTGAGCGCAAGTTTGCTGGCTTTGTCCAAGTTTTCCTCGTTTTCTTCGTCGTCTCCCTTCCCCCCAATTTCTTTTCTGTGTTTTCACGCATTGGAATTTCATTTCGAGGTCCGTGCTGCCCTCGTGTGGCCAATAAGCGGGACTCAAACGAAGTGTTCTCCGCTCTCTGCACTGCCCTCGTGTGGCCGATATGCGGAACTGCAACGAAGTTTTTTCCGCTCCTTGGGCTGCCCCCGTGTGGCCGATATGCGGAACTGCAAAGAAGTGTTCTCCGCGGTCTCTGCTGCCGCCGTGTGGCCGATATGCGGAACTGCAACCAAGTTTTTCCGCTCTCTGGGCTGCCCTCGTGTGGCCGATATGCGGAACTGCAACGAAGTGTTTTCCTCTCTCTGCGCTGCCCCTGTGTGGCCAGTATGTGGAACTGCGTCCAACTTTTTTTCCGCGGTCTCTTATGTCCCCGCGTAACCAATCCGTGCCCAACAACGAGCATGGAAAAGCAGATGTGAATTTTGCACGAAAGAGTCCTGTCTGGACTTGCCTCACGCGCGCTGCAGCGAGGAGAATTGCGCATGCGCTCTGCGGTGAGGAAACTGACACATGCGCAGTGCGATGTCCGGGAAGGCGCATGGGTTCTGCCTGCATGAAGTCGGCGCATGCGGGCTGCACGCAATTACCGACGCATGCGCAGTGCTGTGCCAAGAAGCCGCATACGCTGTTCGGTGCTGAGCTGGCGCATGCGTACTACCGTGCCGCGGCTGGTGTATGCGCCTCGCGTGGCAGAAACCGGCGCGTATACATAGCGCGTTACAGAGCCCGGATTTGCTCAGATGTATTGCTTTCCGAGACATGCTCGTGTCGGTGCTGCTGCACACCGGTAACGCGATCGAGAATCTCCGAGCCTCTGCGAGTCGCTCCGAGCCCCTCCGAGCAACTCCAAGCCGCTCCGAGTCTCTCCGAGCCCTTCCGAGCAGCTCCGAGCCGCTGCGAATAGCTGCAAGCAGCTCCGAGCCCGTCCGAGCCGCTCCGAGCCTCTCGGAGAAGCTCCGAGCAGCTTTCGCGCTGCTCCGAGCGGCTCCGAGTCTCTCCGATCAGCTCCGAGCCGCTGCGAGTCGTTCCGAGAACCTCGGAGAAGCTCCGCGCTGCTTTCGTGCCGCTCCGAGTCCTTCCAAGCAGCTCCGAGCCCCTCCAAGTCGTTCCGAGCCCTTCCGAGCAGCTCCGAGCCGCTTCCGTGCCGCTCTGAGCCGCTTTCATGCCGTTCCGAGCCGTTCCGAGCCGCTCCGAGCCCCTCCGAGTTGCTCCGAGCAGCGTTGCACTGCTGCTGCGGGGGCTTTTAAACGGCTGGAGGACGGTGCAGGGCTAGGGTTCGAAGGGGACGTTTGCTGGTTCACCGGGAGGCGAGCGAGTTGGATGCCACGAGGCGCTGAGGGGCAGCTGTGAGCCGAACCGGTCCGTTTCCGTTCCTGGGTGGGCTCGGGCATCAAACGGCGGAAATAGACGAGGGGCATCCTGGATTAGCGGGGGAGAATATATCGCTGAGCCGGCGGTCCGGAATCGGCTGCTTGCCCGTAGCCGTAGTGGTTTTTCGAGACAGCTGCTGTTTTGAAGGTGACGGGCGTATATTCGCTGTTAGCCGGAGGACTAATCACCATAGAGAGCGGCGGATGAGCTGCGCAGAGCGGTTAGATCGGCACTTCCGCATTTCTGGGCGCATGTGTTTTGCCGCGGGCGGGACTCGGCGGCAGGCAGCGGCAGTTCCGCGCGTTGGCCACGCGGTGGCAGCAGAGACCACGGCAAGAACTTTCCTGCCGGATCGATGCCGGGATTCGGTGGTAGGCGGCGGCAGTTCCGCGCATTGGGGGCTGCCCGTGGGGCGCGTGGAGTGCTGGAGGAGTTGATGGCCGTGCGCGGTGGGGTGATGGTGCCCTCGGTGCACGGCTGTGACAGCGGGGTGGGGGTCGGTGCCCCCAAAATGGGGTGGTGGGCGAGTTGTATGGGGAGTGCATGTGAAGCAGTGCTGGAGCAGCTTGTGAAGGGTGCAGCCCTGTGAGCACAGATGGAAGCAAGGCAGCCGTGGGAGCAGATGTGGGACCTGTGGGTCCCTTATGCGTCGCTTGTGGGGCGCTGATGTGTCACTTTTGGGGCCCAGGCTGCTGTCAGTCATTTGTGGGTCCCTGCTGCCCTGCTTGTGGGGGTACTTATGGGTCAATTCCTGGTCCCTTTGCCAGTTAACGGTCCCGGGCTGCTGTGGGGCACTTCTGGGGCCGTGTGTCTCACTTGTGGGTCCATGCTGTGCCACTTGTGAGTCACTTGTGGGGCACTGGGGGGGCACTTGTTGGTGACAGGACACTTGTGGGGCACTTATGGGACGCTGATGGGTCAATTATGGGGGACTTATGGGGCACTTGTGGTTCAGTTGTTTGTCCCTTGCGAGGCACTTGTGGGTCCCTGTGGGTCACCTGTGGGTCACAGGCTGCTGTGGGTCATTTGTGGGTCCCTGCAGTGCCACCTGTGGGGCATTTGTGGGTACCCGTGGTGTCAATTGTGGGTCCCTGCGGTGCCACCTGTGGGGCCCTTGTGGCTCCCAGGTCACTGAGGGGCTCTCTGGGTCCCTCCCTGTTTCTGTGGGGTTTGGATTGCTGTTGGAGCCAAAAGGCCACACGCTGCCATACAGGCAGGTGCCAGGGTCACCCCCTGAGGACACCAAACCCTCCAATAACGTCACAGCGGCCTTTAATTGCTGTGTGAGGAGATGACGTGCGTTTCTCCCTGGGGAGCCGTAAGCTGAGCCTGGCAGCTGGGCAGCCAGCACTCGCTCCATTGACGCCGCTCATCTCAGCCCTTGTGCTGCACGTGCAGCTTCTCAGCACCTCGCTGTATCAGCACTGAAATCTGTGCTCCCCTATTTATTACAAATGTCACCAATTGCCATTGAGGACAGACTGGAAGCAAAGGACGTGGACCGTCCTCGCTCGTCCGTGGATAAACCTCCCCTTGCCAGACAGGCAGACCCAATTGGCCGCCGGTCATTAATTTTTTTTGTTTTAACTTTATTTTTTCCTTCCTGCTTTTAGGGGAACTTTGAGATCACAGCCTGAAGCAGTGATGGAGCACCTGGTGAGGGGTGCAGCCCTGCCTGCACAGGTGGAAGCAATGCAGCCGTGGGGCAGATGGGGCTGAGCCTGGCTCCACCCCTCCCTCGCCTCATTTTAAGGGCTGGCAGCCCCACAGGCAGGGTTTCTTCCTGGAGATGCCTCCTGTGGATTGCTGGGTGAGCTCTGGTTCGTGGGAAGAGGTCAGCGATTCTTTCTTGATGGCTGTTGGGGTTTTGGTCTCTGCCTTTCTGTGGGGATTGTCAGCTGGTTTACAGTAGCTCTGTCAGCTCTGCCTCTGCTTCTGATGCCTTCCACTTGTTCTCTGAGGGCAGTCAAGGGGTTCTCTGCCTTTCTCTGAACTGGTAACGGAGGGACTGATGGATGTTCCTTTCTTTTGCTCTCATCTGTTTCGGGAATGCTTCAGTCAGCCCCAAGGTGACGCTGGTTGGGTGACTGAGCGTTGCGACTCCAGAAATGCCTGGAGCTGATGCACTGTTCTGTAAAGGGATTCTGTGTTCTGCAGAGTTCCTCTGCAACTCTTTCTAAGCTCAACACCTTCTTGTGACATCTCTGTTCCCTCTTTCGTGATTCTCATTGTGGGATCTCCAACCTGGGCCTCCAAACTCACTCCGTCTGCTCCCACGTTGCCGCAGCCCATTTTATGACACGTTCCCTCTGTGTCCTCGTGTCCTCCCTGTGTCCTCTGCCCGTGTCCCCTCTGCATCTCCTGTGCCACGCATTCATTCCACCCGTGCTGAGTGTTGTTTGAGGGCACACATTTCAATTCCGTTCCACGTCCCGTTGGATCTCCTTCTGTTTTGCGGCTCAATGGGGTCGAAGGGTTTCTGGGGCTCCTCTGGTTAGTGGTTGCAGCGCTGTGCAATCTGTGAGGCGGACGCTGGAGTGGCAGGAACCCCTTGTTTACACGTCGCTTGTATACAGGTGGGTTTTGGGCCGGCTGTGGGCAGCTCCCTTGGAGATGCAATGGGGGTTGGTCCCCAGGGCTCGCCCTGCTCCCTGCCCTTTGTCCTTGCAGCCCCATGAGCTCCGTGGCTGGCGATAGAGCGAGGTGCGTGGTTGCGGCTGGGAGCTGAGCTGCAGGAAACCCCCGGGCCCCAGCGGCTGTTTGCTTCATCCTCACCCAGCGCCGTCCGCTCTGCGCTGCTCGAGAATACTGAGCACAAGGATTCAGTTCCTGGTTGGCCTGGTTCTCTCCCAGATCTCCCTTAGGAATTGGTCGGCAGCAACAGGTGTCAGGGCTCGGCTCTGCGAGCGCCTTGTAGCCGACCCCCCCAGGCTCTCAGGGCTCTTTCAGTCGTGCTGGCAGATGTGGCTTTGTCTTGATAGGAAACAAAGGGCCGTCCTCTGCTGGAGCGCTGTGTCTGGATCACCGCAGATATCTCCATCCCAGCCATCAGGGGATGCTGTCAGTTTCCCAGTCTGGATGCCACCCAACCTCCCAGCCCTCTTCCTTCCATCCCTGCCCCCCTGCAGCCGTGGCACCCAGCAGTGCGATGCAGCAATACCTCTGGTGTGCTGAATGCTGGGGCCGGCACTGAGAGGCTCTGTGGCCGACGTGAATCTTCCTGGTTGGACTGCTTGTGAGTTTCCCTGGTGCTGTTGAGCACGCAGGCTTCCCCGCCTGCCCTGATTGCTCACCAGGCCATCGATGTCCTTTGTGCCGTCGTGCCTCACGGCTTCAGGTATCATGCCATAGACTCCTTAGAGTCGGAAGGGACTGTTTGTGATGATCTAGTCTGACTTCCCACAAGGAACAGGGACATCCACAGCTCGATCGGGCTGCCCAGGGCCTGATCCCGCCTCACCTTGGAAGGGACAGGGCATCCACCGCCTCTCTGGGCAGCCTGTTCCACTGCCCAGAATCACAGAATGTCCCGGCTTGGAAGGGACCTCGAGGCCCACGATTCTCCAGCCCCCCACCACACGCAGGGCCATCAACCTCCCCATTTCACAGCAGCCCAGGCTGCCCAGGGCCCCATCCAACCTGGCCTTGAACACCTCCAGGGATGGATGGGGCATCACAGCCTCTCTGGGCAGCTGTTCCAGCACCTCACCGCTCTCACAGCACAGAACTTCCCCCTGACATCCAACCTCAATCTCCCCTCCATCAATTTAAAACCATTTCCCTTTGTCCCTTGCTGTAAAAAGACATTTTCCTTACATCTAAACTAAGTTTTCTCTTCTTCTTTCCTTTAGCTCCCTTTAGGTATCGAAAGGCTGTTACCAGGTCACCTCAGAGCCTTCGCTTCTCTGGGCTGAACAGCCCCAGCTCTCTCAGCCTGTCTTTGGAGGAGAGCTGTTTGATCCCTTGGTTCTGTTTTTTTTTGTGGCCATCCTCTGATGTGATCCAACAGGTCCATGTCTCTTCTGCACTGAGGACTCTACATCCCGACACAATCTCTAGATGTGGGATTGTGCAGAATATGGACTCAGGTAAGGGAAGCCTCTTTACTTCACAGGTCCTACAGGAGCTGATGAGAACTTCAGAAATAAAGTGGGAGTTCCATACTCTGTGGCACCCTCCTTCTTCAGGGAAATTAGAATGAATCAATCAGATGCTGAAGAAGTACTTGTCAAAATTGGTTTTAGAGACCAAATTACCATGGACAAAGTGTTTGCCTGTAGCCCTTGTCAGAATACGAACCACTCACAGAAAAGGCTTAGGAGTATCACCATACGAAGTGCTGTTTGAGTTGCTGTACTTGGGAATGGTGAGATGCCCGCTCTTGAAACCATGGGTAAGTTTCTCCAGAACTGTGTACTCGGGTTGTCTGCTGCTCTGTTATTCCTTAAGGGATGTGGACCGTTGGCTCAAACTCCACCTCTGGAATTTCCAGTGCACTCATCCCGTGTTGGAGACTGGTCCTAATACGCGCCTGGCAGAAATCAAGGCTTCAGCCTGAGTGGGAAGGACTATTTCAGGTACTGCAGTGGATGTTGTCTACCTTGACTTCAGCAATGTTTTGTTACAGTCTCCCACATCATCCTGGTAATGAAGCTGAGAAAGTGTGGGATAGATGAGTGGATGATGAGGTGGGCTGAGAACTGGTTTACTGGCTGAGCTCAGTGGTGGTGATCAGCAGCACAGAGTGCAGCTGGAGAGCTGTGAGCGGCGGTGCTCCCGGGGGTTGGTGCTGGGTCTGGTTGTGAAGGGGAGATTGTGTTTGTGCTGTAGAAGCTTTCAGTATTTTCTGTATGTAGTACTGGCTTTACTGAACTTACAGCCCTCTTGTGGAAGAGCTGTTTGCCTTCCACTAAGGAAGCTGCTGAGCAGAGTTAAAAAGTTAAAGATTCGGGGTGTTCTGATTGGGGTGGAATTGAGCCAGGCACAAAATAAGGCAAATATGCAGGGTGGAGAGAGAGAGGGAGCTCGGCACAGGACAGAACAAATGTGCTCACTCTTGGAAATATGGCCCTCGTATCTCCATGGAGAAGTACAAAACGTACCAAAAAGAGCAGGTTGGTAATGGACCTTATATGGAACTACATCATAGCAACAGCGTCGGGGAGATTGTGAGCCTAGACGCTCAACCAGTGAATGCCAGGAGAGCATTGCCTGCGTCGGGTTCAGAGTACAGAACAGAATGAATTTCTCTGACCGATGTGCAATTTTTCCCTTATTAACAGGGAGCATGTGCCTGTTATTGCAATAACGAATAAACTTTGCTGCTATCACTAAGATCCTTGCCTAAGCTGAAACTGGTGACTTTGAGTGTTTCTCTCAAGGTCTTGTTCAATATCTTTGTCAATGACCTTGATGAGGGGATATGTTCACCCTTAGCAAGTGCACTGATGAGACAAAGCTGGGAGAGAAGTGGTTGGCACGCCGAAAGGCTGTGCTGCCATTCAGCAAGATCTGGACAGGATGGAGAGCTGGGCAGAAACAAACCAGGTGAGGTGGAACAAAAGCAAATGTAGAGTCTTGCACCCGGGAAGGAATAACTGCAAATATCAGTAAGCTTAGGATGTGACCGGCTGGAGAGGAGCTCTGCAGAGAAGGACCTGGGGGTGCTGGTGGACAACAGATTGGCCGTGAGCCAGCAGTGTGCCCTGCTGGCCAAGAAGACCAATGGCATCCTGGGGCGCTTTAAAAGGAGCGCGGCCAGCAGAGCAAGGGAGGTGATTTTCCCACTCTGCTCTGCCCTGGTCAGGCCTCACCTGCAGTACTGCATCCAGTTCTGGGCTCTCTTCCTGGTACAGAAATGACAGGGATCTCCTGGAGAGAGTCCAACAGAAGGCCAGGAAGATGCTAAAGGGCCTGGAGCATCTCCTCAGTATGAAAAGGCTGGGGGACCTGGGTCTGTTCAGCCTTGAGGAAAGAGGACTGAGAGCAGATCTGATTAATGCTTACATATTTGTTAAGTGTGGGAGTCCAAAGGACATGGCCAACCTCCTCTCAGTGATCTGTGGGGACTGGAGAAGGGGAAATGACCATAAACTGGAGCACAGGAAGTTCTGCACCAAAATGCAAAGGATCTTCTTCATAGCGAGGATGATGGAGCGCTGGAACAGGCTGCCCAGGGAGGCTGTGGCTTCTCCTTGTCTGGAGATATTCCAGACCCTCCTGGATACCCACCTGCGCAGCCTGCTGTAGGGAGTCCATTTTGCAGGGAGCTTGGACTCAATGATCACTGGGGGTCCCCTGCAACCCCAATTCTGTGGTTCTGTGATTTTAATTCTTGCTTCTTGCAGCGATGCAGTGTTTCAGAAGAGAGAAAAGCACGGCGGGCGTAAGCTGGATTTCTGTGGTTGGTAAAGCTGTGCTGAGAAGTGGGCTGACACTAGCACCTGGAAATGTGTCTGCAGACTTTGCACGCAGAGGAATGACTTTTCCCTGCAGGTTGGGCTTGTCTAAGGTAGGTCACTGCTAGGTGAGCTTCGGCTTTAAAACATCAAGTTGTACAAATAAGGAAACTTCAAAAGCAAGATTGCCAATTCTTTTTTACATAGGTGATTTTTTCCACGAGGAAAGATTTGAAATGCTGTTTGCTAATGGAAGATGGAGAGAGGAAAATCAAGTGAAAGGCACGCTGTGCACAGCCAGCACATAGCATCTGCACAGCTCTCCCCCTGCACAAAGGAGGAGCAGCTCAGTAAGCTTGGCCTGGGCCATTGAAGGCAGCACACAAACATCTGGACCAACCCCAATGGAGCTGCTTCTGCAGGTTGGTTGTCTTCCGCTGTGTGTCTGCTATCCTGTTGCTCCGGGGTAGATTGGTTGATGTTCAGCTCATGGAGTTGAGGTCTGAGTTTAAGGCTGGGGCATCGTCCAGGAGTTGGGGTAGGGTACAAGGCAAAGAAAATTGGGGTAAGAGAATGAGGTTTAGGACCAGGAACCTCTTCCATCACTATTAGCTCTTGCTGTTCTCTTTTTGGCTTAGGAATTCAAGTGGGTTTTTTAATGAAGAACAGACTCATTGTGCAGCTTGCGAGTGAATTCATTCACACCTGTTAATTGGCATTCTTCTCTATGTGGAGCTGCAATTGCAATGGATGCTTGTGGTCTGATGTACAGCCCCCTCTGATGTGCTCAGATGAGCCAAGTTGGCAAGGCCTGACTCTCGGTTGGCAAGTAGTGCCCAAGTTCAGACAGTTGACTCTTGTCGGCTTTGAGACGCATCTTCCAGTTGCACGCTGTGTTCTTCCTGTTGTGTTGAGCTCTTGAGCTCCAGCCCTAAGTGAGGATGCAAGTGCTACCGCAGAAGGGATGGTTGAGATTGGAAGTGCAGTGCAAAGGGCTGGAGCCAGCAGGAGCAGGGATGTGATCATCCCCCTGTACTCAGCTCTGGTGAGTCCTCACCTTGAGTGCTGTGTTCAGTTCTGAGTCCCTGACTACAAGAAGGACACTGAATCCCGGAGATATTGCCAGAGAAGAGCAGTGAAGCTGTGAGGAGTGTAGAGCATCAGTCTTATGGGGAGCGGCTGGCTGAGAGAACTGGGATTATTTAGCCTGGAGAAGAGGAGGCTCAGGGAAGACCTCATCCTTCTCTACAATGAACTGAAGAGAGATTATGTCGAGGTGGGGGTCGTCTTCTTCTCCCGTGTAAGTAGCGATAGGACTGGGGGGAGCGGCCTCAAGTTGCATGGAGGGAGACTGAGGTTGGATGTTAAGAAACACTTCTCCAAGGAGTGCCCAGGGAGGTGATGGAGTTAATGTCCCTGCAGGTGTTCAAGAAACGTTAGATGTGGCAGTGAGGGATGTGGCTTAGTGGGGAATATTGGTGGTAGGTGGACAGTTGGGCTGGATGATCTTGGAGATCTTTTGCAAGCTTGCTAATTCTATGATTCTGTGAAAGGCATCTGCTGGGCAAGAGCTTTGGTGGGTGAGCATCAGGCTGCTGGACAGCAGGCAGCTGTTGTCTGTGCAGACAGCCACATCCATGGGGAGTGGAGGCTTTTTCACCTTAACCTTGTCTTTCATGTCTCACGTGCAGTAAGTCCTGTTGTTACAAACAGCATCTTGGGGGCAACCTTGATTTCTGCAGCCCCGAGCTTCGTGGCGCAAGAGCTGTCCCCCATGCTTCTCCCTGTGATGTGTGACCGTATGGAAGGCCTCGCAGAAGCCTGGCTAGGTGATGGCAGTCGCTCCTCCTTTCCCCAGCGATGCTGGAAATAGCGTGGAACGGGACGGGGGGACATCCCAGCCGTGGGTTCCTCTCAGCAGGACTGAGCGGCTGTTCTGATCCTCGTGTTTGAACTTGAGGGAATCTGATGCTAAGTAGAGAAATGAGTGGCTTGTTAATGAAGAAAATAAGACTGTGTCGCATCTTGTGGTGCAGGATGTTGTCCGAACTGCTGCTAACAGTGGCCAGGATGCTCCCTTTTTGATGGGGAGAGGTCTAGCAGGGATTTCTTAAATGAAAATAGTTTGTTGTGTAATTTCCTTTTCATCGACCTTTCATGCTACTTCTTGATAAATTATCTTTGGATTATGAATCAATATTTATTTCTGAAGAGAATTGAAGAGAATACGTACTCACCCTGCGCCTTCTTCTGCACCGAGAATCTTCTAAACATCTTTGCACTTTCTTTTTGGCCCTGAGATGAAGCTGTGTGGAATATAGGCTTGGATGCATTTTCAGTCAGGTGCAGGACACGTAACGCTCATCTGAGTGGTCATGCTGACAAGAGCAGCAGAGTAGCAATTTTTACAGGGTTGCGTGCTTTACTTTACTTTTTTTTTTTTTCTTTCCCTCCAGTCATAACCATGGAACCACAGAAGCGTTACTCAGACAGAAGGAGCCTTTGTCACCTGGACTTCCTGCAATTGACACAGGCAGTGGAAGTCAGCATCCCAAGCATCCATGAAACCCCTGCAAAGGACTGGTGAGAGTTACCTGGCGCCGTCCTCTGGCAATCTCAGGTCTTTCTGTAAGCTCCCAAGCTGTGTCGTAACTCCTCCCGTGGTGCTGACTCAGCTCTCCCAGTCTTTTGTGTGGGAGAGCTGGAGTTGAACTCCTTCCCGTTTCCTGCCTCTGTCCTCCCTGCTTTGCCCATGGCCCAGTGAGCCTCCATCCTTGTTAGGTGTCTTGAATTACTGAGTTGCTTAAGGATTGGGTGGACCAATTAAATTCTTAGCGATGTCTCTAGATCCACGTGTGCACAAAAGCACACTCTGATGCAGTCAGTGTAATGATGAATACACGCCTTGTTTCCTTTAGCCCGTATTTTTGGTTCAGGAGAACAGATTTCTGAAATGATGTTCAGCTTGGCACCAGAATCCCCTTGCCGCCCCCCATTGCAGTCACTCACGAGGGCTTGAGATCCACAGGGAGGAAGTATTGCCGATAATTACAATCCATGGTTTTAAAACTGATTTAATCTATGGTGGATGATATGAATAGTCATGGTGAATGATGTGGTAAGGCATCCCGGCAATTTTCAACAGGAATACTTCAAGGCAGCTTTTCAAGGTTTCTTTGAGAACTTTCCAAGTCTCCAGGAATTTTAAGCGCTAAGGTTTCCTTGCCTTCCGAATGGCAGTGTTTCTATCTAAGCTGGCAGCCTTTAAACCCAAGCCCAAACTGAAGCTTGCTCATCTCAGTGGAGGTGCCTTAGCTATATTCTAACGCTGCGTGCAAAATGAGTTTCACGTTCACTTGTCCTTTCTGACTCGCTACGTGTTTCATTGCACAGGAAGAAAAGCTTGATGTCTGTGCCAAGGGAGACGTACACCGCACTTGCGCTGCCTGGACGATGTGGAAACTGGAAATTGTGGGGTGTGCTGAAGCATGCCCTCTCAGGTCAGTCTAAGCATTCATAGAGTAGACCTGTCTAGCAAAACAGGGAATAGACAGTTAAACCCATTCTGTTGGGAAATACTCTCTCCTTCTAAGAACCTTTAGAACGTGAGTTTCTTCAGTTAATTACTCAACTCATTTGCTTTTCCTGAATGATCCTAAGTTGTTTTCTCAGGCGACATCTGCACTCTGCTCAGTCCAAGGAGAAATCCCTGCCCGCAGATGCAATGACACAGCATGGCTCACCACCTCATTTTTCATTGCTTACTGTTACGGTAGCTGCCATCCATGTCCACCCTGCGTATTCTCAGAGCTCTTCTCTGTGTGTGGTGCTGTGACCAGCTGGTCTGAAGGAAAGCAATCCCTTAGGCAAAGAGTCCTAGGCCCAGTTTGTGCCGAGCTGCACAGTGTGACCCAAGGTCACAAGCACGCACGCCTGGGCTGTGTGAGTGTGCGCGGCAGCTGTAGGGAGCACAGCAGACATGCAAGCAGAGGAAATCCTTGATGTGCGGGGCTGCAGCAGGTGCCGGTGGTGAGGCTGGTGGGAGTCGGGGCCGGGGAGCAGATGCACCTGCAGCAATGATTCCTCTCACTGCCCTGCTGCTGTGCAGTCAGAGCGCCCTGGGCGAATGCATCTGCTGCTTTGTGCCAGTCCCCATCTGCTAGCAGAGGGACAGCCGCTTGGTCAAATGCTGCCCAGTAGGCTGTCTCGTTTGATTTGACTGAACAAAGTGGCTGTTTCTAGAACACCTGCCTATGCCAGTGGGTAACTGAGGGTAGTTCTGAGGAAGTCTCTCAATAGTGTGGTGTGTGAAGAGAGAAAATATGAGTGTGTTTCTCTTCAGTTCCAGCTTGTCGTGCCTGCTGTGATGGGCGTCGCGTGCAGCGAGATCAGCTGTGGGCCTGACATGGCACGGATGGAGGTAGAGTATGAAGCTCTGATTGGTCTTTGTTCCCTAACGTGAGCCAGCAGAGTGAGCTGCAGATGTGCTCGCTCTTTCAAGAGAGAGCGAATCCTTGCGGCTCTATCAGTGTCACTGAAAAGCTGCCTTAAAAGCTTCATGTCCTTGCTGCAGGCATCTAGATGGCCATGGAAGTCATAGTATCAACAGAATCAGATCCGGCATTGTAAACGTGCAGAAGCATTTTCCCCATCCTGCCTGGATGTTGTCACCCACAGACAAAGTGCTGTTCTCTTATTCAGCAAGTTCAAGGAAGGTGGCACTTGTAGTGAGCCAAGGATTGGGTCAGTGGCCCAGCTGCTGTGTCCAGTCCACGGCTGAGGTCTCCAGGCAATGAGTGACAGGAAGTGAGCAGACTCTTACGCTCCTCTTTGGGAAGGCAGTAGTGCAAGCATGGCAAGTTTTATTATAAAACTGCTGGAGCCGTCTCGGTTGTGGAGTTTGTCCTCTTAGTCTGGGTAGAGAGAGATGCATCTTGGCACTGCCAGGCAATAGTGCTGCGCGCCGGGAAGAGAAACAGCTGTTATTAGACTTGCAGGTTCTTGTTAAGCGCTCGTGATAAGGACCGAGTGCATTTCCTGCAGCCTTCTCTGCCGATGTGCTCGTCACCCTGAGATCCTCCTTGCAGCCCTCAGCTCCTCACCATGGCCTGTGCTCTCTGTTTCAGACTGAGAACAACGGGAAGCCCCTGCTGGTCCGTGAGGAGTCATCTCTTAATATTCCAGCTGTTGGTGCTGCCCATGTTCTCAAGAGATACGTTGCCCAGGCACCGGATGAACTCTCCTTGGAGGTAAGCAGTTAAGGGCGTTCCTAGTTGTCATGTACAGAAGAGTATAAGGCGTGAACGCATCAGGAATATTCTCTGACACCTTCAGAGTGTTTGGTGAGGTGAAGCTCAGAAGATGCGGATCCAGATTAGACTTGCACTGGGTTGGATGCAGGGAGGAGTTCAGCCATCTCTAAACTATGACTCTATTTGGCATTGGAATCTTCTGATCCAAGAGCTACTGCCCAGTGTGGTAGCCTGGTCTCTGAGCAATGGCAGACCAGTGTATGGAGTGTGCAGATCTGTTCAGGATCTGTTCCGCTGACTTATGCCTGCGGTTTAATTGGAGCTCTCCCTTTGGCAAAGAGCCTGCTGCTTCTGAGAACCATTTCATACTGAACAGCTGAATTCTGTATGTTGTGTATTTTAGTGACTCTTCTACCTCCACGTTCAGTTGTACGACTGCAAATGCCTGAAGAGCTGCACTGGTGCAATGGCTCTCTAGCTTGACGATATTGGGCAGTGCAGAAGAATGCAGTCATTTCAGCTGTGCTTTCCTCCCAGCCGTGCTGAAGCTGGGATTGACGTTGCAATCTCTTGCAGGTGGGAGACCTCGTGTGCGTCATCGAGATGCCGCCTCAGGAGCTGAGCCCCCGCTGGAGAGGCAAGCACGGCTTTCAGGTAGGCCCAAGCTTCAGACGTGAGAGCGCAACTTCGGTCAAGGCAGGAATCTCAGCTTAGAGCTGCTCTGCCTGCACAGCATGGCTCCACATGGAAAATGGTTTCCTTGTGCTGGTGTCAGAGGACTTTCCCTTTTGCTGTGGGCTTGGGCCAGAGCTGAAAGTTGGTCTTTGTAGGAAACTGCCTCCTCAGTTAACTTAGAAAGAAGAGACCTCACAGCATGCATCAGGTCACGGCCACTGAACCGCACCTTTGGAAATGCAGCAGCTAGGACTTGTGTTTCAGTGTCTCTGAGCACTTGTGCTTGCACCCATGCAGAAGGTGAAGTCAGTGTCTTTTAGGAAGTCGCTGCCTGTCAGCTGAGATGAGGCAGGGTAACAGAGCCTCTGCGCGCTTGCTGCTGCTGCTGGCTGCAGAATGCTGGGTAGCTCAGAGCTGGGGATGGCAGCTGCATCTCAGTCAGCAAGCAGAAATTTCATAGGCTGTGCCAACTCAGATCTAGCTGCATCAATCTATCATAATATATAGCTTCTGTATGAAGTCTTTCCCTTCGGGCACGCTTGAGATTCAGGGGTGCATAGCATACTTGTCCTTTCCCCGCTCCATACACAGTTTTATGGATATTTGCCTGCCAATTTGGAATAATTATTAATTTTAAGCAGGCCGTTTTTTGGTTGGATTGTCTTACGGAGCATCCGGCAGGCACGTGATGAGGAAAATGTGATGTTTGAACAGTTCAGGCCTGAGAAACGCTGCCTTCAGTATCGCACCTCTCTTCTTCTTGTTACAGGTTGGATTTTTCCCTGGTGAGTGTGTGGAGCTCATTAACGGAAAAATCCCGGAGTCTCTCATCAATTCAGTGCCAAAGCCAGGTACGATGAGACATTTGATGGTGCAGGGAAGCAAAATGGAGTCTTTTTTGGGTGTGTTCCGTGTTTAATACCTCCCTTATCCTTCCCACCTTATCCTCTGTGCTGATGATCCTTCATGCATAGCACGGGGCGTATGGCTGGTGTTTTGTAGGCAGTGAGAATGAGGGAAGGCAATGGCAGTTCTCCTGCAAGTCCGTACGAGGCTGAGAACAGCCATCAGAACGTGCAGAGATTTGGCCCAGTCCTCCTGTGTTTATGACTGGAGTTGGGGAAATCCTAGAATCCTTGTAGAATGGCTTGGGATGGAGGGGAGCTCAAGGATCATCAAGCTCCACGCCCCCTGCCTCAAGCTGGGCTGCCAACCAAGCTCCACGTTTAATGTGGGACTGGACCAGGCTGCCCAGGGCCCCATCCAGTCTGGCCTTGGACTCTTCCAGGGTTGGGGAAAATCCATTTTGGTACGCACTTGCTCATCATGTTCTTCCTGTTTTGATGTGCTCTGCAGAATGTGTTGTGCTCGGCCTCGTCCAACGGAGGCAAACCTGAGATGAACTGGTTTCTTCCTTTTGTTGTGCAGTGCCAAAGAAGCGCGGCAAGCTCCTCACCTTCCTTCGTTCCGTCGTGAAGGCCCGCCCAAAGCAACGGAAAGAGCGGGAGGTGGAGAAGGAGAGGGTGTTTGGCCGTGACCTGGGAGAGCATCTTCTCCACTCTGGTCGTGATGGTAAGGGACAGCCCATTCCTGAGAGCTTCCCTGTTTGGGGACCTAGAGATGAAAGGGAGATGGTTTCTAGCAAGGGGCAGGTTGATAGCAGTGGAGAAACAGGGAATGGGAGTTGACGACTGAAAGATCAACTGAGTTTGTGATGGCTGCAAGGGAAATGCTCCTAAGGGACAAGCACATTTGTATTTGCTTAAAGCAAAGCCTGTAAGCCAATCCCATGGTAGCCTGAAAAGAAAGGAAGCCTTTTGGCCAAAGAGAGTGTCCTGCATCAGTTTCCCAGCTCCTTGCGGTCGTGAGATTTTCCACCTCCGTTCCCGTGGGGGCTGTGATGGGACTTGTAATGTCTGCGGCTTCCCCTGAATTACTTTCTCCAGGCTGATTCCTAGGTCCTGGCATTTCTGGAATGCAAGGCACACATCTGTGTCCAGTTTCCTCACCAGCTGCTGCAGAGGTGTCTTTGACAGCTGTCCCCTTCAAGGAAGAACTGAGCAGTAGCCTGGCTGGGTTTAGTGGATGGGATGTGACGGGAGCGCAGCCTGAGGCAGGACTTGACTGAGGAGCTCCAGTAACCGCGGGCACGTGTTCTTTAGTCCCCCAGGTCCTCCAGAGCTGCGCCGAGTTCATCGAGCAGCATGGCGTGGTGCAGGGGATATACCGCCTGTCCGGCGTGGCGTCCAACGTCCAGAGACTGCGGTAAGAGTGCTGCGACTGACAGACACAGCTGCCAGCAGGGGCACGTGCCCTGTTGCGGGCGTTCAGAGGCCTGCGGGCAATGCCTTAGCACAAGGAAAGGTCTCCTTTGGGAACATCCCATCCAGCACGGCTGACGTGGTGCTGGTGGCCGAGTGTTTGTGTTCTCCAGTACATCAGGAAGCCCTTCTGATTCTTGATTGCATTGGGTGTGGCTTTTGACTTGCTTTCCTCTTTCTCAACCGCTTTCGTGTCCTTCTCTGCAGCCAGGAATTTGAGTCTGAGCAGGTTCCTGAGCTAACCGTCCGCGACGTTCACAGCGCGAGCTCCCTCTGCAAAATGTACTTCAGGGAGCTCCCGACCCCCCTGCTGACCGACCAGCTGTACGACAAGTTCTCGGTAAGCACGAGGCAACGCCTTTCCTTTCCCTCTTCGCTGGGCCTCTAGGGAGATGGCTGCAGCAGGGCCCCAGCTCTGAGGCCCTTCTTCTGTTAGCCCCATGAGGTTTACTCGCATGTCTTTGCCACATCCCGAATCGTGCTGATGCCACTTTTGCATTCCTGCATTGCTTTTTTTTTTTTTTTTTTTTTTTTTTTTTTTTTTTTTTTTTTTTGCTATTCCCCACCTATTTCTGGAATGGGAAGGGGATTAATAGCCAAGCATACTTGCAGATGAATGCCCCTGTGAGGAGATGAGCTGCCCAACCAGGCTGTAAACCGGCCCGGTGCTTGGACTCCTTGGCTGTGGTGGCACCAGCTGCGTGCCGCTATGTTTGCCAGATGCCTCTGGGGAGGCCTAAAATCTTTCTCAGTGCTGACCAGCAGCGCGCTGTGCCCATGGTTCCCGACCCTGCGGCAGGTATCTCGCCTGATTTGTGTCTCAATCCCTTTCTGCCCTTTTCCAGGATGCTGTTGGTGCCACTACAGAGGAGGAGCGGCTGGTCAGAATGCGGGACACCATCCAGCAGCTGCCCGCTCCTCACTACAGGTCAGTGCTGCCCTCAGCCTGCTGAGCTCAGCCCTGCTGCACTTCAGAGGGCAATGGTGCGATTCCAGGCTTTGTCTCACGCGAGCAACACGATGCCTGGGTGTGCTGAAACACTGCATGGGGTTAATTTGTGGGGTCAGTTCCTGGGCACGGGGGCAGGCTTGGTGCAGCTGATGGCTGTGGCTGTGCTGTGCTGGTGCTGGGTGCTGCAGCGTGGCCCTTGGTCAAGTTGGGTCTACTTCATCTTCAGCGACAGTAGCAGTAATAACAACTAGTGTGAATTGAGGTTTGCTTTGTGAGTGGCAGCACGGCATGCTGGCTGGTGCTGAACATTTGCCGCTCTTGTTTCCCAGGACCCTGGTGTTCCTGATGAGACACTTGGCCAGTCTATCTGCGAACAGCTCTGTCACCAACATGCACGCTAAGAACTTAGCCATTGTGTGGGCTCCAAACCTCCTAAGGTAAACTTCTTTTTCCGTTTCAACAGAACGCTTACATCTGTTCTCCGGTAGAATAAAGCAGTCCTCCCTTCTTGTGCACCACATGTGCTCTTCACCTGTAAAATGTGCAGTGAGTGGCTGACAGCAGAGCAGGAGCCTGGACTGTTCTCCAACCCTGCGTGGGCACAATTTCTAGCTGAGCATTGCTGCTCTCTTGTTTAGATGGGACTGGTGTGTCCTTGATCAGCCAGGAGAACTTTTTCAGTGGCATCACTGATTGCCCACTGCGGAAGTCTCCGGAGCCCAGTTTGACAGCTTTGGGCTGCAACAGTTCAGACCCGGGAAGCGATCTTGGCTGAATGACTTCTAAAACCTGCCTTTTCTACAGATCACAGCAGAGCGAGTCTGCCTGCGCCAGCGGGAGAGCTGCCTGCACGGAACTGCAGACGCAGTCGGCTGTGGTGGAATTCATCATCGACCACACAGACGTCCTCTTCTGCTCCACATCTGGACCTGACATCGCAGATGGAGCAGGTGAGTGTCTTCCTCCATTAGCTTTATCTTGGTCAGACACCTGGATCAAATGCAGGCCTTTTCCAAGTCCTTTGAAATACACTTTTCCTGCCGAGGGGACAGCAGACGTCTGGGCTTAGGTTAGAATCTGGCACCCTGTTGCTGGATGCTGAGAATGTGCAAGCCCAAACGTGACAAGGAGAAAACTGTCACCGTCATTATGATGTTTTGCAAGCAGGTGAAGCTTGGTGAAAGTGTGACAGCGAAGCTTTCTCAGTTCCCTGTCCCCCTTTTCTAGGGTTTTTGTTTGTTTGTTTCCACACAGTGAGCTGCTCCTAATTATGACTGCATCCTTTGCCATAGACACACCTCTGAGCACATGGTTGTTTTGAGCTGCTCTTCTTGCAGCAGCTCGGATAAGCAAATCTGAGAGAAACACAGCACCTCCTGGACCTGCGATGGCTGTGCTGCCGCTTTCTGATCCTGGCTCTCACCTGTGGTTTTCCCTTCCAGGGCACAGTTCTCTCTCAGGGCCCCAGTCTGTGCGGGCGTCTTCTGCTGCCACAGAGCTGCTCAGCCTGGAGGAGGCGCAGGCACGGAGGCGAGGCCACAGCAGCTCTCCTGTCACTGTGGCATAGAGCTGGGACATAGAGGTGGAAGAAGGCCCCACAGCTGTACGGGGGAAATTCCATACGATCATCGTCTTTCCATCTGAAAGGTAAAGAGGACTTCCTGTACCTGGGAAACATTGGGGTTTTCTGACTTCAGGGCCACGTGCCTGAATCCAATTCCGGTTCTCCTCAAAGCAGAGCTGTTGGTCAGACCTGTTGGCACAAGAAACTGGACATGGCAGTGAGATGGGGCCAATGAGCTGTCAGAGTCAGAGATGCTTTTGGAGTTCCACGCACAACTCACACCATGCCCTGTTTCCTCTCTCCAGACCAAGTCCACCCAGCAGGATGAAGGAATCACCAGCTGGCTGTTGCTGTTCCTGCTTCAGCCTGGGAAAACCATCCTCCGTGGCCGAACACCAACCGCAGCACCGTCCCAGGGAGCCCTCAGAGACAGACGTTGTAGTGCTGGCAGGTAAGGGTGCAAATCCTGCTTTCAACACCCTGCTTTTCAGCAATGTAGAATTCTTGCTGTCAGTGGGCTTGTATCTCCTTCTAGCGTTCCAGCCCATACCTGACACCTTCAGTTCTCCCCTGATCAAGAACCACTTTTGTAATTCAGCTTGTGAGAGTTGGACACCAACCCCTGTTCATTCTTTTATAGGTGGTTCGAGCTCCTGTCAACCCAGATGTGCCAGAGCAAGTAGCAATGCTGGGCTGTGTGCTTCCACCAATGGAGAGCTCTTGGGAAGCACAAATGGCTGCGGATCACGTGACAACCTTGCACATAACAACAGTGATGGAGAGAGGGAGCTCATCGAAGTTGAAGCTCTCATTTCTCCCGGCTCTGCTGAAGATGCTGACCTGAGCCTGCCAGGGACCACAGGCACCAGCCTGGACTGTGACCCGGCGCCTCTGCAGTGCAGCCCAGCCCAAGCACAGTCCGAGTGCCCCGACAGCAGCACCTCTGTGCAGGAGCAGGTCAGCACCAGCGAGGAGAAGCTGAGCCTCTTGGAGGAGGACTTAGATTCAGGCCTCCATTCCCAAGCACTGGGCAGCAGCACTGAGAGTTCTGAGCCACTCTCTCCGTGAGCTTTCCACCCAAGAGAGGACGATTCCCATCTTTACCTGGACCTCTCACGCCCTCCTGTCTTTTCGTTTAATAATAAAAGCACACTTTGTTCACTCAACGCCTTGACTGCCTGAGGAGTCTTCATTCCCGGGGACTGGGATGAATGCAACAAACAGCAAGGCACCTCAGCTTGCAACGCTGAGGCTGTGGGGTGCATGAAGCAGAGCTCCAGGTTTGTTCCTGTTTTGTCTGGCTTCGGGATGGCTGCAGCTCCCGTTTGGTACAGTAGCAAATAATCTCTAGCATCCTGGATGCTGCTCGTGATAACCCCGAGCTTCCTGGCGGTGGCTTTGTGACGCCTTTAAGGGCTTTTTGATGCACTGTGATGCCTTGGCTGCTCCCTAACACCTCTCTCCTCCTGCTGCGTCCGTTCCTGGCTCCCACCCTGCAAGCTGCCTGCACAGATCATCTGCAGCCCTGTTACCGTCACGCTGCGGCAGGACGAGCTCATTCAGACCTGGCCTCTCATTGGTCAGCGGCAACGCTGTCCCGCCCCCGCCTGCCTCTTATTCGTCAGCGGCAGCGCTATCCCGCCCCCACCAGTCTCTCATTGGTCTGCGGTAGCACTGCTCCCTCCCCAGGGGGTTCCTTGTTCTGCGGTTGCTCTGCCGGCTGTGATTGGCTGAGCCGCCGTGCGGGGGAGCGGGCGTTGGGGGCGGCTGTTGGAGGCGCGGAAGACCTCAGTGGCAGCCGTTGCTGTCCGGGCAGCAGCGAGGCGGAAGCCGCAGAGCGACGGGAGCGAGTGCTGAGGGCAGCTCCGCCAGAGGTGTGCGGGAGAGCTGTGCGGAGGTGTGTGGGACAGGGAGAGGAGCCCTGCGCGGCCCCAAGAAGGGGAAATAGCTGTAAAGTGGAGCACGGGAAGTTCCGCCTGTGGATGAGAAGGGAGTTCTTCACGGTGAGGATGGCGCAGCTCTGGAACAGGCTGCCCAGGGAGGCTGTGGCTTCTCCTTGTCTGGAGATATTCCAGAACCGCCTGGACGCCCAGGGAATTTTTTTCCGCTCTCTGTGCTGCCCTCGTGTGGCCGATATGCGGAACTGCAACGAAGGTTTTTTTGCTGTCTGTGCTGCCCTCGTGTGGCCAATATGCGGAACTGCAAAGAAGTTTTTTTCGCAGTTCTTACTGCCCCCGTGTGGCCAACATGCAGAACTGCATCCAACTTTTTTTCCGCGGTCTCTGGTGACCCCGCGTAACCAATCGGTGCCCAACAACGAGCATGTAAAAGCAGATGTGAATTTTGCACGAAAGAGTCCTGTCTGGACTTTCTGCATGCGCACTGCGGTGAGCAGAATTGCATCTGCGCTCTGCGGTGAGGAAACTGACGCACGCGCAGTGCGATGTCCGGGAAGGCGCATGGGTTCTGCCTGCATGAAGTCGGCGCATGCGGGCTACACGCAGTAACCGATGCATGCGCAGTGCTGTGCCAAGAAGCCGCATACGCTGTTCGGTGCTGAGCTGGCGCATGCGTACTACCGTGCCGCGGCTGGTGTATGCGCCTCGCGTGGCAGAAACCGGCGCGTATATATAGTGCGTTACAGAGCCCGGATTTGCTCAGATGTATTGCTTTCCCGAGACATGCTGGTGTCGGTGCTGCTGCACACCGGTAACGCGATCGAGAATCTCCGAGCCGCAGTGAGCCGCTGCGAGTCGCTCCGAGCCCTTCCGAGCCCTTCCGAGCTGCTCCGAGCCTTTCCGAGTCGTTACGAGCCCCTCCGAGGAGTTGCAAGCCGCTCCGAGCCCGTCCGAGCCGCTGCGAGCCCCTCCGAGGAGCTCCGAGCCGCTCTGAGCAGCTTTCGCGCCGCTCCGAGCTGCTCCGAGTCCTTCCGGGCAGCTCCGAGCCGCTGCGAGTCGTTCCTAGCCCTTCCGAGGAGCTCCGAGCCCCACCGTGCCGCTCCGAGCCCCTCGGAGAAGCTCCGCGCTGCTTTCGTGCGGCTCCGAGTCCTTCCAAGCAGCTCCGAGCCCTTCCGAGCAGCTCTGAGCCGCTTTTCTGCCGCTCCGAGCCACTCCGAGTCCTTCCGAGCAGCTCCGAGCCTTTCCGTGTGGTTCCGAGCCCCTCCGAGGAGCTGCAAGCCGCTCCGAGCCCCTCCGAGGAGCTCCGAGCCGCTCCGAGCAGCTTTCGCGCTGCTGCGAGCTGCTCCGAGTCCTTCCGGGCAGCTCCGAGCCGCTGCGAGTCGTTCCGAGCCCCTCCGAGGAGCTCTGAGCCTAACCGAGCAGCTCCGAGCCGCTTTCGTGCCGCTCCGAGCTGCTTTTGCGCCGCTCCGAGTCCTTCCGAGCAGCTCTGAGCCGCTGCGAGTCGTTCCTAGCCCTTCCGAAGAGCTCCGAGCCCCACCGAGCCACTCCGAGCCCCTCGGAGAAGCTCCGCGCCGCTTTCGTGCCGCGCCGAGCCGCTCCGAGCCCCTCCAAGCAGCTCCGAGCCCCTCCAAGCAGCTCCGAGCCCTTCCGAGCAGCTCCGAGCCGCTTCTGTGCCGCTCCGAGTCCTTCCAAGCAGGTTCGAGCTCCTCCAAGTCATTCCGAGCCCCTCTGAGGAGCTCCAAGCCCCTAGGAGAAGTTCCGAGCCGCTGCGAGCCGCTCTGAGCCGCAGCGAGTCGCTCCGAGCCCTTCCGAGTCGTTCCGAGCCCCTCCGAGGAGCTGCAAGCCGCTCCGAGCCACTCTGAGACCCTCCGAGCCGCTCCGAGCCCGTCTGAGCCGCTGCGAGCCCCTCGGAGAAGCTCCGCGCCGCTTTCGTGCCATGCCGAGCCGCTCGGAGTCCTTCCAAGCAGCTCCGAGCCCTTCCAAGCAGCTCCGAGCCGCTCGCTCCGAGCCGCTTTCGTGCCGCTCCGAACCCCTCCGAGCCCCACCGAGCCGCTCCGAGCCCCTCCGAGGAGCTGCAAGCCGCTCCGAGGAGCTCCGAGCCCCCCCGAGCAGCTCCGAGCCCCTCGGAGAAGTTCCGAGCCGCTCCGAGTCCTTCTCTCCATCTGCAGCGACTTCAGCAATCCCGCGTCGTGCCACAGCAGAAATGGGGGACTGCAGTACGTCAGCGATCTCTGACTCGAGGAGGGCAGTGGCTGCAGGAAGGACGCTCGCTGCAGCCTCCCTGTTTCTGTGGGGTTTGGGATTCGGTGCCAAAAGCAAATGCTTGGCTCTGCTGCACGCATCTCTCAGATTGACACCGGGTTTTTCATCACCTCCGATGATGCTGGATGAAAAAAAAAAAGAGAATAAAAAGCATGACAACATCAATTTTCCAGTGATTATTTATTATTTATTATTATTTACAGACAGATATTCATAAGCACTGAGCGCAAGTTTGCTGGCTTTGTCCAAGTTTTCCTCGTTTTCTTCGTCGTCTCCCTTCCCCCCAATTTCTTTTCTGTGTTTTCACGCATTGGAATTTCATTTCGAGGTCCGTGCTGCCCTCGTGTGGCCAATAAGCGGGACTCAAACGAAGTGTTCTCCGCTCTCTGCACTGCCCTCGTGTGGCCGATATGCGGAACTGCAACGAAGTTTTTTCCGCTCCTTGGGCTGCCCCCGTGTGGCCGATATGCGGAACTGCAAAGAAGTGTTCTCCGCGGTCTCTGCTGCCGCCGTGTGGCCGATATGCGGAACTGCAACCAAGTTTTTCCGCTCTCTGGGCTGCCCTCGTGTGGCCGATATGCGGAACTGCAACGAAGTGTTTTCCTCTCTCTGCGCTGCCCCTGTGTGGCCAGTATGTGGAACTGCGTCCAACTTTTTTTCCGCGGTCTCTTATGTCCCCGCGTAACCAATCCGTGCCCAACAACGAGCATGTAAAAGCAGATGTGAATTTTGCACGAAAGAGTCCTGTCTGGACTTGCCTCACGCGCGCTGCAGCGAGGAGAATTGCGCATGCGCTCTGCGGTGAGGAAACTGACACATGCGCAGTGCGATGTCCGGGAAGGC